GAGGTTGATAAGGAGAGGCACTATAAACAAAACTTAAGTAGATAAATACACACACAATAATTATTTATGGAGTTCGCACATCGGTCTTTACATTTTCTTGGGCTTTTGGCAACTGGATGTCAACATTAAAATTACATATTAGGCTGTTAATGACATCATTGTAACACCTACCTTATTTATATTGCTTAATATTATCATGTATTTATTTAAAACACTTTATTAGAACAGTTTTTGCTTATTTTTAAATGGCGTTCGACTTAGGCGTGGAATTTCCTAACTAGGCTAAGTGTAACATGTTTTTTCTTGTAATTATCACATCACAATTAACCTATTGCTGCCCACTGCTGGATGTAGGTTTTTTTTATTGAAAAACTAAGTACGTAAGTGAAATTAAGTAGAGTAGAGACAGCAACGTTGAGGTGAATTGGGCATGTAGAGCAGATGGATGTAAGAAGAATTACAAAACAGATTTATGATGCGAATGTGGATGGGAGGGTTTTAAGAAAACGTTTCAGAAAAACTTACATTGACCAGATTAGTGATGTCCTCAAAAAGGCTGGAATCCGAAGTGACAAGAGTAAAAGAAGTTGTATGAAGCGGGTAGTTGATATGTGTGAGGCTAGAAAATTGTGTTAGGATAGTGTAAGGTGGCGTTCGTAGTCTCTGTCTACTCCTACTGTGGGACAAGGGCATGAGCTTATGTACATATGCATGTAAGTACGCATTTGACCTCAATCTCACCTGATGGAAAGTGACGATGGGGTCGGCAACACTGAGACAGAAGTTAACAAGTCTCATGTGCCTGTTATTTCACCAGTACCCTTCACAACTGGAACGCAATAATGGTCACATTACTGCTTGGCAGCAGAAATAAATAAAAATAAATATTAGACAACACCACATACGTTGCTCCGATCCCAAAGCAAATGACTAAAGCACTTGTGTTATGGAAATCGGAAACAGCGATGGTACCACAAACACTCAGACCCGAGACTATATGGAAAAGTTACTTTTCTACATTGACTCGGCCGGGGATCAAACCGATGACCTCGGAGATGGTGTCGCCACACCATGAAAACGTACGATCTATTTAAATACTTTTTATTTTTATGTGAAAGTAAAATGTGATGAACCATTAAAAGTCATGGAACAAAAGTTGTTGTTTATGATTTTATATAAAAAAAAAATGTTATAAAATAAAATTAGACGACATTTTTACCCAAAAAGCGTTTTTCATTGCAAATGATATTTTAAACTATAACGGACAAGGACACGTCGATATTTCTATTTATTTTTTTACTTTTATTTTTATTTCGATATATTTCTAATATAAGTTTATCGTTAGCTCTACTGCTTTTGTATAAATTGGTGTAACCGAGAGAATCAATATTAAAAAATCATAACGCAAACAACCCCACTTGTTATCGAAACCGATATAGTACGTTACAATTACGTCGTTTACAATTAACAAAGTGGCAAAAAATGTTTTGTACCTTGTTGCGTATTTTTAATCGCAAGTGTTACCGGCCTCAAAAATCTTTAGATAGAGATAGCGAACATATTGTAAGCGCCAAAAATTCATATCCACAGTTTAAAAAAATTTCCTGTTACAGAATGGTTACGAAATTCAATATTATATATTAAAACTAAATTTAATATCCCATTTATATGTAGAAATATTAAAAGAACCCTGTCCTGTAAAATTTGTTGTACAATAAAATTCAAGAGACGAAGCAGACGCCTCTAATAAATTACATTGCAAATATATTTTAGTGTGAAACTGAAGTGGTACCATGCGACGGAAATAACTGGCCGCATGATAATTTCGTAAGTTCTTTGATACACTCTAGGAGGTATGCGATTTTGTAGTCGTTTGATGGATGACGAATAATTCATCGACTTTATTATGTATTTATATATAACTTGGATAACGACTTAATTAACAGTATTATTATTTGTGTCAAATAGACACAAGTCGATGAGTCGAAATCAACAAGTGGCGTGCGTGCAAAGTACCTCTAAGTGGATAATTGTTTATTTTTTGAATAAAACTGGACACGTGGCTACTGTTGCTTTGGAGAATCGTTGTACCATGAATAGTGATTGGTACACGACCATTTGTTTCCCGGAAGTTATTGACGAATTCCGTAAAAATGAACGTAAACGCCGTATCATCGTGTACCACGATAATGCCAGTTCTCACACAGCCAGACAGACAAATGAATTTTTGAAGGTGAACAACGTTGACGTTATGAGCCATCCCGCATACAGTCCTGACCTGGCACCTTGTGACTTTTACTTATTTCCAAAAATGAAGAACCAGTTACGCGGTCAACGATTTTCATCACCTGTAGAGGCTGTCGAAGAGTATGAAAAATATGTTTCAGAGATTGTCACGGAGGAGTGGCATAAATGTTTTCAAAATTGGTTCATTCGTATGAAAAAGTGCATTAACGCTAACGGAGAATAATTTGAGAAACAATAAATTCATTTCTGACCATTTATAGTATTTTTTTCTTAGTCGTTCCGGAAAATTATAGTGCGCCCCGTGTATATAATATTAGATTATTAACTTTTTATATTCATAAGTAAACTTAACTATGTAAATAAACAACGTAAGTGTAGTATGGTAACATTAATCAGTATTTCTTTTGTTGCATTGTTGAGTTGTTGTTTTACGCACAACAGGAAAACTGCTAAAAGAAGTTTTGATGGAAAGCGAAAGCTATACCACAAAGACGTAATCATGTCATAATACACTTTTATGTATTATTTATGTTACTTAACTATAGCAAAATTGAAATTATCGTATTAACATTGTGTTTTTATTAATTTTTGTTAAACGTTTTCCCTAATTTTGCAAATAAAAGTTACACAATAGAAAAATAATATCATTCTCGAAATCAACATAAAAATCGGAAAAAACTAACCCAACGGCTTATCAATATATTTTTTTGCGAACCTGTTTCATTTACCCAACGATCAAGAAATAAACTTTCAATAAGTGTCGCAGGCGCATCGTGGACAGAATCGAATTATGTCAAGTGCGAATTTCGAAATTACACAGTAATACAATCGATTAGAGGCAAATTCACGGTAGCGGTGATGAGAATTATGAGAAACATGTGGTTTTCTGAAAATAATTTGTAAGAAAATAACATTAGTGTTTTAAGAAGTAAGTATCGCAGTAGGTGAATCATGATTTTTATATTATATATTTGAAGAAGCAACATTGGAAATGGTACTGTTCGGATTTAATAAAGCTTATAAGATATTTGTTCTTTTTTTAACAAACCTACGTTTCGGACAACGTGTCTCACAGTCGGTCGTGATCATAGGACCAAATTTGTAATCATTGAAACGTAACTACCGCGTTTGCGTTAAGATTTTTATTTAGATCTTAATTATATGCTTAGTTATAAAGTTTAAATTAAAATCTTAACGCAAACGAGATGGTTGAAAACTTACACTAAGGCCCTTGCGAAAGAGGTCGTCTAGGAAACACTGCTACCTTGCTGCCAGTGCCCTGAGGCATAAGTTGACAAGATTTTTTGACCGGCTTAAGTGTGTACACTCCCTTCTTCTCAAAAGATATACGGATAAATCGAATCGTACCTAAATAATATTTGGCGAACTGTTTAAAATCGGGATTTTAGTAGCAGTAGAACTCCCTGTGAACGAGTACGTTCAGGGAAGTACTGCCACCTTATCTATTTCTGGCGCCAAACAGTAACGTTGTTTTGAAGGGTGAGGGCGTTGATGAAATTACAAGCATATGGGACTTGTCAACTTATGTCTCACAGTGACGGTGCGCCCGTCATTGCAGCCGTCGTGGCAGTGCCAATTAGATCTTTATTATTTACTGCAACTGTTATGGACATAAGTGTCGCTTATTGCCAGGCTCACGACTTATTCGTCCCGTCACCTGGAATCAGGAATAAAATACAGTCTAGCAATCGTGATAATCTAAGAACTATATTCATAGATTACGTTAAAATTAATAAATCTTACTTATTTTCAATTTATGGTTACAACAACAGCAACGCTGTCCATAGTAAGAGAAAATTCTATTGTTTATTTTGTAATATATTTCGTTATTTTTAATAAAAGTAGTTAGTATAGTTAGTTTTTTGTTATTAATCATTCTTAATTTTATTTAAATAATGTAGAGTTTTCTTATTGAATTATTTATAATTTTACTTTAATAATGAATATGTTTTAGTAAAGTAAGGACATAGTGCCCTCAGAATGTTGCAGTGCCCCCACGGGGTGTTACATGTCAAGTACTATTAACATAAGATCACCTTATATATAGCCATGTAACTTACAAATATAGAATATGAATATGAATAAAGGAATAAATGCGCATTTGACATTCCACCTGTCGTATCTACGGCATACACAATGCTTGCCATCGTGGTGAAATTTGCCAGTCCGCTTAAGGTACTCGCCAATTGTTGCCCAGGGTGTGCCAGATGTACAGAAAAAGAATCGTAAGTCATGCGGGGAGGCTCCTTTCGTGCACCCCAAATCACCAATCAACTCACATGATGGAAAGTGACGATGAGGTCAATGATAGAGCATGTATACCTAAATATTTCCCTTATTATATATTCTCATTTACTTTTTTTTATGATACTAAGTGACAGTCGCGCGCCTGATGGAAAGCGACACGCCTGCCCATAACAGTTGCAGTGCAACACAGAGCTTTAAATCGGAAAGATCTGAAGGGCTGCCACTGCTCCTGTTACCTTGAGACAAAAAGTTTGAAGTATAAGTGTGCCTGTAGTTTCATCAGCACACTTATACTTCAAAATCGGAACGCAGTAATGCTCATATTACTGCTTCGAAGTAGAAATAGGTAAGGTGACAGTAGGTACCCTTGACGAACTCTTTCACAAGGAGCTCTACTTCTAGGTACTACTTGTGAAAAGAAACAAGTTATAGCGGTCACTGGCGGAAATGGGAAGTATCTAAGTGAATATTTCTATTTGTTTCAGCTTTCGTCATCTACTTCTTCCTATTGTCCGCCTTCTTCTGGATGAACGTGATGTCCTTCGATATTTGGTGGACGTTCAGGTAAATACTATAATATTGTATTACTACTCATTTGTTTGTTAAAGTTAAGGCTCTAATTACACTTATTTGAAGATGTAAATATTACAGACATACATTTTTTTCCATCAATATTACAAATAAGATCTTTGTAATACCATTGACTAAGTTTCCAAATATAGTGGGTACGATGTGATTGCGTCAACAAATATTATAGACAGTAGTCTAAGAATATTTGTTGACGCAATCGCATCTTAGAAGTGTCTAAGGAGCAATTTTCGCACATGTCAATTAAAAACAATGGCGCTTTGTGGCGAAAAATCGTGTATAGTGTAAATGAGCAATATGGAGTGCGAAAAATTAAAAACGACGAAAAAATACGGTGAGTGAGGTCATTATTAGTCATACTAATGGGTGGCTACGTAAAGACGGTTGAACTACGGCCACCAAAATGAAAGTGTCAATATTTAAAAATAGAGAAACCGTAAGTTGTAAACAACAAGGTCCATTTCGAAATATTTAAATCGCAACTCACCTTTTCAATCACCTTGACATATGAATAATTAAGAAATGTTAACTCTTTAGACTTTTGTGACGATTAATGCTTTATTTCAAACTTTAAAACATTCTAACTTAGGGATTTGTTATCTACAGACCAAAGAGTCTCAGTCTCTGAGCAAATTTTTCGTCTATACATTGGTATAGACGAAAAAGTTTCCCGCAGATAATACAAAAGACGGTGATTTTGACTTACTTTTTCTTCATCGCTTTCGTCATTGCTAAACTTTCCCTACCTATTTCTGCCGCCAAGCAGTAATGTCAGCATTACTGTGTTCCGGTTTTGAAGGGTAAGGTTGTTGGTGAAATTACAGGCACATAGGACATGTCAACTTATGTCTCAGGGTGTCGGGCGCAGTGGGAATATCCTTTGCAATTTAAAGCTCTGCGTGGCACTGCAACTGTTATGGACAGGCGTATCGCGTACCACCACCAGGCGCACGACTTGTTCGTCCCGCTACTTGGTATCATAAAAGTATTTTATTTTGGTCGTGTGCCTACTAGAGGGCAACCGATCTCTACAAGGGCTAAAGCCGGCGCTGAGTGGGCCATGCATATTTATTATCATACCGCCCACCGCTGGGCTCTGACGTAATGGGTTAATAGTCCGCCTTAGTTGGGCTAACGACTTGACACGATTTCTTTCATAGGTTGTATGATGTAGACTTCACCTTTAGCAATAAGTATTCGTAATAAGCATTCGCATATAGAAATTAGTCACAGATACGTGCTACCTCAGAGACTCAAACCATCGACATCGGCCTATAAATTGATCTTTTCTAATACACAGTGAATTCTAAGTTTCGTAAAAAACATAATGCTAGAAGTATCTACTTCTTAGTATTTATACACAGTGTGTCATACGACTTCCGTGGTCGAGTGGCTTGCATGTTTTCATGGTGTCGCCATCTCTGAGGTTCCGCGTTCGATCCCCAGCCGGGTCAATGTAGAAAAATAACTTTTCTATAAATTGTATCGGGTGTAGGTATTTGTGGTACCGTTGTAACGACGTACCGAGCCAGTGCGTTGCAACGTCGCAATGCTATCATTTCAACGCACCAAGTGCTACACGAGCAATGCTCTATGTGACGTGTAGTTCTAATTTATCTGTACTACAATGCGGCGTCTCCGATCAGGCAGTCGCAACGCCACGTAACGCATCGTGTGAGTGTGACAACGTTCTAAACTGGGCAAAAAACAAAGTCTAAATGCAGAGAGCGCAGGTACCGATCCGGTTTTTATAAATACAATTTACATAATGTTGTTCATTAAATTAGACTGTATTTTTAAAAAGCAGTTTTAGCCAATATACACAGCAATTGCCGTTCTCGTGTTGTAGTCGTGTGCCATTCTCGTATTCGACTGTGAATGATTTGCAATTAGCATTAACATAATGATCCTTATTAATTAAACATTGATTAATTACCAATAACATAGAATTAAAGAACCCCACACGACCATGACTCGTGTAGTTTAATGGGTTTAATCGTATTAATCATTTATTAAATTAACCTGGTATTACCTAAGTAGTTTGAAATTAGTAAAATCATTACTATTTTTTAACCGACTTCAAAAAAGGAAGAAGTTCTCAATTCGACAGTATGTTTTTTTATGTGTGTACGCGGTAACGGAAAGAGGTGCCTCAGTAGTGGTCCCATTTCAATTTGAAGAAAATATTGCACCTGTAAGGGTGGCAAACTAAGGGATGAATGACTTTTGAGATCGGTCTTTCATTCTAGCGTGTGAGAAATTTAGACTAGGCGTATTCAACTAATTACAGATATTTTCGGCTTGTGAAATTGGCTTGTAAGAAAAATAAATTCAATCACTAACGATCAAAATTACCTTACTAAGGGCCGTATTCTAGAACTATACTCAATGCTCAAATCAGGATTTGAGTATGGTTTAAAGCACTCGAAGTCATACTCAAGTCCCTGCCATTAGGGTCGTATTTCCAGTGCTTGAAATCATACCCAGACCCTGACTTGAGCATTGAGTAGAGATCTGGAATACGACCCTCAAACTACCATGGAAACGACTATACACATTTTAATTTTTAATCTGCAATTTTTGCATTTGCATGGACCTTTCAAAACCGGAACACAGCAATGCTCACGTCACCGCTTGGCGGCAGAAATAGATAAAGGACAGTACTTCCCCGGATGGAATCTTTCACAAAGAGCTCTACTGCTAATAGAGTATTTAATTCATTCGAAACGTGATCTACAATCCCCTATAAGCGGTTTTTTTATATATTATTTAATTTCAGTTTTATTGTTAAGCAAAATCAGCGGAATTTACATTTTTCAAAGGAAAAAAAAAATTGGGTGAACTAAACATGGTCTGACACAATCTCGCAAGGTACCAAAATGCTAATGCGATTACGGATTAATATTGAGATTTCTAAGAACACAATGATTATCACATAGCTATTATAACTGCCTTCATAATTACATCGAGTATAGTCATTCTGTGTTAAACATATCAATATGCAAAAAAACATAAAGTATTGCCAAGATTAAAAGCCTTGAAATAAAGAAATTGAAACTTGAAGGATAAAATACACAGTATTAAAAAATTAATAAAGTGTGCGGCATTAGCGAGAAATCAAAGAAATCTGACCTTTCCTAAAAGGTGGATAGGTTAGGTTATTAACCGTTGGGGTTAAATATTCCACTACTAATCGTGCTAACATGAATATTGAAGAACCTGACAAGTTTGTGGCTTGAAACAATGCTTTTAACTTGATTATTTTTACATAAAACTGAACGCATAAATTAAAACTATGAGTATCAAGTATTTTTTTTATAGTTTTTCAATGTATTCCACTATTTTGAAACATTCCACTTAAGTCCTAATACAGGGTAACGTTTATATGTACTTTATAAGATTAAGGCGGCATGCGTCTGTGAAGAACTTGGTGAACCATCTCAAGATGTTTACCTTTCTTATGAAACATGTGAAAATAGCATCTTTTTTTAAAAACGAAATCTCAATCTGATTTTCAGTGGTAAACGAGGGCTGTCCTTGGAGAAGTTGTCAACACGCGCACGATTCTGCGCATACGCAACGTACGCGTTCGGCGTGCCGACTGCGTTGACTGTCACCATGGCTGCGCTCGAATTCTCCGGCCTTCCTGCTCATCCTTTGCTGCCCAACATTAAGCAACAAGGATGTTTCTTGTTTGGTAAGTTTACATTATTGCACTAAATGGACTGTTGAAGTTCGGACTTATTTTATTTGACTATTCGAGACAACATCTTGATATGCAAATTTTAAATCGTAAACCATCTACTTTTCAGGAAAGAGCAGATTGTTATATTTGTACTTGCCCATGTTACTGCTGTGCGTGGCGAACTTGGTATTCTTCATTTTAACGGCTGTCAAGATAGCTCAAATCAAGCATCAGACTTCCGTGCTTAAGTCGAAGGAGAGTTCCATGCACGATCAGCACCGAAATGATAAACAGAGGTGAGATCACTTTCTGCCTATGTGCACCATAAGGCACAGATCCATTTTCGAGATGGTATAGCAAAGGACCCTTAGGCATCTATACGGCAAATACACAGCTGCTTCCTTAATGCCGCAGGAAATCGTCGCGACATCGTGCTCGTGTTTAACTCATGTTTATCTTTTATTCAGATCAGTCGTAACGTTAAATGTTAAAACCTGCTGAAGCATCCCGAACGCTGCCGAAGCATCCCGAAGCTTGATATCCATTAGCTTACCGAGGTTTTGTTTTCGTAGCTAAGAACATTTCAAATATAATGTAGACGCTATAGACGAAACTGGATATGTGAATATATTGCTAGTAATTAGTTACCTAAAACTCCCCTGCTATGCCGTCCCACCAGAAAGTGTCGGGCGTTACTGTATCACCATACCATACCAACTATTATTTTTAAAAGAGATTATAAGTAAATCTGGTACCTGGAAGAAACTGGTCGATTTTATTTCCATTTCTCATTATATTTTAATTACTTTCTGCAACACACTGTAAAGTTACATACGATGGTTCCATTTAATAATATTGCTTTATCAATGTTTTAAATGTAACTTCCAGACTCACTCTTTACATCAAGCTTTTCATCGTGATGGGTGTCAACTGGATCCTCGAAGTTGTCAGTGCGCTATATCCTCAGCACGCTCACATTTGGCGCTACATGGATGCGTACAACGTGCTCATTGGCCTGATCATCTTCATAATTTTCGTCTGCAAGCGTAAGATCTTCAGACTTATGAAGAAAAGGTTGGTTCGTATTAATTGATTGTTATGGATCATTATTGAGATGTTAGTTGTATCGTATTGAAGCATTGTGGGTTTGTATGTTGCTTTCCAACAAACTTGCAATTTTTCTTTTAACCGTTCATTATATTCTGTCAAGATTTAATGATATCTTATAGGTTGGGTTCATAAAGGGTAAACTATAAAGTGAAATTAAATTTCGTATCCAGGATCGAAGAACGAATGCATCGGCGCAAAAGTGACGATGACTTAAGAAATAGGAGCCTCAAAACTAATTGGAGAATCTGTGCAAACCAAAGAGTCAGTCTTGACACCATAAGGACCACGGCTGATAATGACAGTCTTAAGAATAAAACTACTGAATGCTAACAATTATATCTAGTCACTATAGGAAAAAAATGTGATATAGTTTACGACATAAACATTAAGACGAAATGACAGCTATACGTCAGTGAAATGACAGCTATCCACTGAGAATGCGGAATATCCGAGTTCATGAGTAATTTAACGAATGAAATTGAGACACAGAAATACTTATACAATAAATTATTGTATATTCAAGAAAATCAAGCAGACAAGTACTGTCAGACAAGTGGACTAGACTATTGATTACACTGTTTCTTCAAAACATTAAGTTATCTTGAAACAATCTGAAAATTATGGGAATTGTTTGCCTGCTAGTTAAAAGAAGACAGATCAGACGAAGATGAATGAAAGAGGTACAGATATAAGAAAAATAAATAATGCAAGGAAATTGGCAAAGGTGTGGATTAAAACAACTGGACGGCTAAGCTATCTAATGAATACTAAACCTGCTGTAGTGAATGTATTATCAATTGTGTTATTTAACAATTATTACTTTGGTAAATAACCTGGAGTTACGTACTAAACGTATTATGGACTTGTATATACCAGAAATGGTATCGCAATTATGTCTATTGGCAATGCAAAACTAACGGTGCACGACTAACCTATGAACTTTGAACTTTTCAGTAGATTAGAGGTGAAAATTACTGGGCACTAAACTTTTAAAGGCATTGGTTCAAATTGCACTACTAAAATATTTAAAATATGAAACGCTTATAAACAACAACGACTTTATAAATTACTTGGTTGTAAAGAAGAATTTTGAAGTATTATTGTTTTGCGAATTGGTACCATGGTTGCGTGGGCCTTGAAGCGTGTGAGGTAGATACTTAAAATCAGCACATAGACCCATGGAGTGTTTATTAAGGAACAGGAGAGAAAATTTTATTGACATTTCTTTAATAACAATCAAATAAAACTGATTGTGATGAACGTAGTGAAAAATGAAATTAATGCGGAATTTTAAGTTTTTTTTATCGAGGGAAATTTAGTCAATCGTGTTTCAGGTCCCTCATTTCACAACCGGTATCTTCTGTTTTCAGTATCAATAAAAAAAAAAACAAGTTGAATTCCTTTTATAATGTCAAAAATCGGATTTCACGTGTAGTAAAATTTTTACGTCTATCTACACCTTAAGAATATTGGGATAAGTAGGTACTAAAATCATGACAAATTTTTTGTCGCAAAATCGGTGGTTGTGTGAACTTCTACAACTAATCTTGACATACGGAAAATGTCAGCCAACGTTCAAAAATCAAAAAGAAATGGCGACGTACTGACTGTGCGTTATATAAATCATAGGTTCTCAAACTTTTTGACTCACAGCCCACTTAGGCAAGATGAAAAAATTATAACGCGCCCTGGACAGCATCAACGCTCTCCAATTGCTTCCAAGGTCCCTACCGCCCCTACCCCCTAGGACTCTTCAGCGCCCACTGGACGGCGGTAGGGAGCACTTTGAGAAACTATGTTATAAGTGAACCATTTTCGTTCCTTGAGAACTCAATGTCGAAAATTATGATGTATTATGTACCATATGTAATTTTATAAAAATTGGTCAATTAGTTTTCGAGCTAGCTACTTTTAAAATTGTCGGAGAGATCGTGATCAAAACTACGTAAGCAAATCCCTAAACCACTCTAATTGTAAGTAAAACAAACTTCAAATATTCGCTTTTAAACTTTTGCATTGCATTATAATACAGTTAGTATACTAACAATGTAAACGGGGATAAACGCAATAAAATCTTTTAATATGCACTTTTTTGAACTTCGCCCCATTTTTAATGCATGATTTTGGTGGAATAACTTATTGTAGATAGGAATTCAGAGTTCAATCACTAAATGCTGCTTGCCTTTGTGTTACGTCTCTCTTTGTTTTGTGATTGTTTTTGTGGGCGTAACAAACAGAGATCGGCGTAGGTAGTGTACATTTACCTAATCTTCCGGTAATACACATTCTGTGGATGGGTAATTTTCAGGTTAGGGTTTTCAACCTAACTTTGGTGGCAAATTTTATTATCTAAATATTCTTAATCTAAATATTATCATGAAGTATTACTTAATATTTAAGATAATATACTTAAATACTTAAATCCTAAAAATTGCCACCGAAATTAGGTAGAGAAAACTTACCTGAAAATTACCCGGATAATACCTTCCTTTGATATTCTGGAATGCTTAAAAACAAACGAAAAAAAAACATAGTTTTATTTTTACCTGCAAATTACAAAACTCTGCTTCGAAATAATAAAATAATAAAATTAAAAATTAAAAAAAGTATAAAATTAAATACTTTGCAATAATTTCGGGATTATTTGATGGCGGTATAATCCACTCTATGTGTAACACTTCCTTCAAATATTTGTAAATATACGCTGCTCATTCCAATCACTAGTAATAAAGTATAAACATGAATATTAAAATTAATTGATGCAACTTCTACAACCTATCTCAGGTTACTGAATGAGTCTATTGAACATTGTTTACAGGGTGGAGAAGACACAAACACAAGCACATTTCCCTCTCGTAACGTCTCGTACCAAACACTAATTATGGTGTCAACAGAGGTAGGAGAGTTTATAAAAATAGGTATGTGTCAATAAATTTTTAATCGACTAAAGCAAACAGTCGTCATTCTTAAATTGTCAGCACCAATACAACGTTGGAAACATAACAATTTAGTTGTCATGACACTTGCGCCAACAGTACGCGGAGATCCGGAAACTTGAGCTCAGTCGCCAGTTTCGGTTGAGTGTTATGGTCGTGTCAATTATCTCGCACAAAATACCTCGAAAATCCAGGAAAATTGCCTTATTTTTGAAGTGCAAAAATGTTGGGCGCACCTATAATATTATCCATGGTGATGTGTCATGTCATCGTTAAGTCTTAGTTTATATTATTTATCTTACAGGCAGCTTACTGACGTCAAGACAGCCAGAACCGTTTACTTCAGTTACTTTCACAGTATAATTGTCATACAGTAAAATATAGAAACGATTTTTATTTTGCAGAAGTGTGCGGTTAGAGCAATATATAAATTACTATGTACCTCACTTAGGGAGATTTTTAAGGACATTGGCACATTGACCACTGTATCATAGTTTCTTTTCAATTGTATACTTTTTGTGCGTTTGAATAATGAATTGTATAACAAACGGAGTGACGTACACAATTTTAATAATAGACATAAATGGAAGCTCGTATTACCGAAGTTAAGACTTCAGAGGGTTCTCGGTTCTTTTGTGGGGCAAGAAATTCAGTATTATAATAAGATTCCAAAAGCTGTTTTGGACTTATCCTTTAATAAGTTCAATAATCATGTAAAGGCAACTCTACTAAAGAGAGGATATTATTCTGTTAGGGATTATATAGACGATAAGACAGTATGGTCTTAAAAATTGTGGAAATGTGACAATTCTAACTGTAATTTGCTTACCTACGAAATAAAGATAATTTAGAATTTTGATTTTATAATTTTTTTGGAGTAAATCTAAAATGTTACGCTTGTAATAGGTTGCTGTACCCCTTACATAAATTAGACCATATTGTGTTTCAACTATATTTCTATGTATCAATTTAAGATATTTTTTGTGTTAACATTTCATGACGATAGACGTATCGAGCGATAAAAGGGCTGTGACATAAAGACAGACGTGATAAAATTATGACAGCTCCAGTTTGACATAATATCGTAATTATGCGAATTCCCTATGAAAATCGGACTTAAATATTTTCATTGCACTGTATTTTTTAAATTAAAATATTTATTTTGTGCGATGATTTGTTTTGTTTTCTTTTGTTTATCATTAGTTTCAGTTTAAGTTCGTTGCAGGAATGCAATGAGAAAAACATGTGGGATAATTACGTTACACGCTTCATGGTCACCGGTTGGCTGGCCAGCGGCAGTTGACGCCTTTAACCTAATTTTCTTGATATTGTAGGGTACATTCTAGTTAAGATAAATATGTAACGTGATGTAGGGT